GCATCTGGAGCGCAGTTCTGGCCTCAGCTGCTCAAGAAGAATGTGATGGAGTTACAGAAGGTCCAGAGGAGGGGAGGGACGAGCAGCCTCAAAACAGAGCAATCCAAAAGGCTGGGACTCTTCAATTAAGAGAGAAGGCACCTGAGAAGGATCTTACTGAGGTATACAAAGTCATGAAGGTGGTAGAACAAGTGAGTGCAGACTTCATATGCACAGAATCCTCCTACAAAAGAATAAGGAGGCACACTTCGAAACTACAAGATCAATTTAAAACAGACGCAAGTATTTTTTGACACAAGTCTGGAACCTGGTGTCACAGAAGACTGTGGAGGCAATATCAACAAGTTTACAAGGGTGTACATAAATTCAGATCACAAACAACAGGTCCATAAATGGCTGCTAAATGGGCAAAGATGCACCCTGTAACATCTCTACTATGTTCAGGATACTGGAGAGGGAAAGGGACAGCAGCAAGTACCCTGGCTCACACGCTTGGCCAAAGAGCATCTGCAGTTGCCACCACTGGAGACAGGCTGCTGGGCTAGAGGTGTCACTGGTCTGACACAGGAGGATGTTTTAAACATTCTAAATTAAATCCTGAAAACCTCACACACAATTAAGGCAATGTGGTATCTTCTAACTGCTGCTCTCATCTGTCTCTTGGACCATCCTTGCTGTTGTGTGCGATGCCTCACGTTACAGCGCGGCCTCATTTAGCCACTAATCCTACAGGCAGATCCCTCTGCCACATGGAGCCCTCCTGACACCAGCACGGCCAGGCGCCGCTGAGGAGAGGAAGCTGCACATGTGGCATAAGCACTGACGCTTTAGACTGTCTTTGATGCAGAGCTTGATTTTTTTTCCTATGTTATTTTTGGTCATTGATTATGATTAGCAATCTGTGAGCTGCTGTAACATATCTAAGGATTGAGAAGCAGCATTTTATCCTTGATACCTGGATAACTAAAGTTACAGGCACTACTGCAGTATATTTTGTATTCCCAACATTTCCAAATAACTACTCCATCATGTATCTGTAACTCTGAAAATGATCACTTTTGTAAGTAGGTATTCATAGAGAAGAATGGCATTTTCTCACTTTAAAAACCTTTAAGTCTGTTGAAATAATATTTCCTGTATAACCTTTAGTCAAAACAAATCACTACAGCATTTCTACAGATGAGGCTGCACATCAGGAAAGTGGGAACGGCTTGCTAAAGGTGCCTAAACATTGGCATCTGGTGTCACATGAGATGTCCCATGGTGTTCCCATCACCAGAAGAAGGGGAGAAGCCAGCCCAGAGATGCACAAGCCTGTACTGGTGCTGTGCTGCACCGGCCAGCCTGGTGCTGATGGCTCAGGCAGCGGAGGGTGTCTGAAACAGCAGCAGATACCTCTGCTTGGGCAACTGCATCAAGCCTGAAATGTCCTGCTCACGTAACCTAGATAAACATGCAATTTCCTGTACAAGTCATGCATTTAATAACAGCACACATAAGTTTATCTGACATGCTCTAGTAACAGTGTCACATCTGCTCCACCTGGACATACCTCCAACCCTCCAGTACACAGATCGCTATGCTGTTTGTTCAAGCTACAAAGCCTGTAATTTATGAAGTGCATGTACTTTCTGGGCCATAATTCAGGCTTTTTACTGGAATGAGTAAATTTCGCATGTCAATGCTGAGATTACCATAAAAATAATAGCAGTGTATTAACTAGTCACTTCCTGTCTTAATGGTCAGGGGATCTGGTGGAGGCTCACGAGCCGCTCACTCCACGCGCGCAGAACAAGGCGCTGGGAATCTGGGACAGCTCAAGACAGATGCAAGCTGTGGGTATGACACAGGCCACGTTAAACTCCTGGCCTGATTAACAGCAGCAGTAAGAGACTAAGCTATAGCACCAATTACATGCAATTATTTTTTTAAATTCAGGAATTTGGTACTTCACACATTATGAAGAGTAACACAGGAAAAAAAAAAAAACAAACACCTAAAGCTATTCCTGAAAGTACACTGTTCAGATAAACATCTTGAGAAGCCGCTGTGCTGGCTGGAGAGCGAGCACTCGTGTCATGCTAATGAAGACACACAAACTTTCCAGTATCTCAGGAATGCAGGTTATCTAGTTTGGCTGCTGAAAACCCTTTTTCTTGTTTTTAAACAAACCGAGTCTGCGGGGGACCCCGACGCCCAGCACGGGCACTCCTTCCTCTCAGCACACAGCCCTTGCTCGCAGCCTAGCGCCTTTCAGACACCAGCGAGCCGTGACGCAGGGCTGCTTTGGGCAGAGATGACGAGCCATGGCCCTGAGGCCTGTCGTTCTGCCCTCGCCTCACCAGACTGAGGAGAAGCCTGTGGGCCCCCAGCGCCCCAACCCACCCTAGGGGTGCTCGGGGCTGTACCTACCAACAGCCAGGACACAGCTGCACGGGGAGCAGCCCAGAAAGCACGCCGGGACACGCAGAAAGCCCCCGTCTCCTCACAAGGGAAGAAGCCATCGAGCTGCCGCCCGCGCCCACCGCCCTCAGCACCCCCGGGCAAAAGGCGGGAAGC